AGGTCCAGGTTTTGAGGAACAGCAGCAGCAGTAGTTCGGAGGCAGGCGATTCACATTCACGAGACTGAGGTAGCCTTGCAGGCGTCCGCAAGCCCGGCGTCTCTTCTTTATGTTTTCCTTTTGACTGTTGCCTCATTGTTTCGAGACAGACAGCTGTTATATTTCTTTCAGACCTTTGTATTAGTTTATTCTTAGTGGTTCGTGAGTAATGTGACACCAAATCTTGGGTAGAGGTTGTTTTTGACTATTCCGCGTTTTAAATTCATCATTTTAAGATAGACTTCCGCTATTGTTCTTATTAGACTTTATGTTCTATATTGATGTTATAAACTGTTAAAGATAATTGCTAATAATGGAAAGGTAATTAAGTTGGCTTGCCTAGCTACCACGAGTAGGCGCCATCACGACTCTGATGGCGGGAAATCCGGGTCGTGACACCTTTCTTCTTCAAATCAATTATAAGTCGTTTTTAACCAATTTTCTTCAATTCTTATCATCTTTTAACATGATTTCAACTTAAAATCAAGGATTTTCATGGGGGAAATTGGGTGTTTTGGGTAGAACCAAGGTTTTTCAAAAATTGGGGATTTGGACTTCGATTTGAGGTCCGATTTCAAAAATAATTATATATTTGAGTTCGTGGGGGAATGAGTGATCGGGTTTTGGTTCGAACTTCGGGTTTTGACCACGTGGGCCCGGAGGCGATTTTTGACTTTTTGGCAAAACTTTGGGAAATTCATTTTCATGCATTCAAATTGATTCAATTAGCGTTTATTGATGTAATTAAATAATTTATGACTAGATACGAGCGAATTGACGGTGGAATCAAGGGGTAAAGCTATAATTAAAACTTGAATTGTGTTCGTGGCATCGAGGTAAGTGTTTGGTCTAACCTTAGCTTGAGGGACTAAGAGCCGAGTCCTAATTGCTAAGTGGTATTCGTTGTGTACGACGTATAGGCATGGTGACGAGTATCTATACGTTGGTGTCTAGCATGACCGTGAGTCTTTATATTGTGAATATCTTGATTTCGTTGTATTCTTCATGCTTTGGTGATGATTTCTAGTTGTTGTGAAAGGTTTGTGGAAGGAATTGAGACCTTTGAACATCTTGGAGCATTGGCTCAAGCTATATTATGAATTGTGAAAGTATACAAGATGATTGAACCCCTTTGGAGCATTGGCTCAAGTGGTAAAGTGAGTTATGAAGTATAAGTGAAAGATAGAGAAGGAGTTATTGAAATGTTTCCTTGCCGGGATTTAATTGTTTAATTATTGTTCCTTGGCGGGATTTAATTCTTTAATTGTTGTTCCCTTGCCGGGATTTCTATATGATCTTGTATATTCCCTTGCCCTTGTTTGTGATTGTTGTTTGGGTGAGGAAGGGTGATACCGTGCATTGTTGATATTGTGAGGAAAGAGTGTAAAGCACGAAGGGTGATGCCGTGCCGCACGATGTACCATTCCGTGCTGATTATATTGATTACATGGTGAGGAGAAAGAGTAAAAGCATGAAGGGTGATGTCGTGCACATTTTGATCAATAATTGTTTTGGTGAGGACGAGAGTAAAAGTACGAAGAGTGATGCCGTGCGAACTGTTGATTTGTGATCCTTGTTGATATTCGTGTTATGTTGTTCCTTTCTTTACTTGATGCCTTTCTATTCAGAACTGTTATCTCCCCCACAGCCTGTTTCCCCTTCCCACATTGACTGGTTATTTCTGTATTTCTTTTTCCGTTGTATATATTTAAACTGCACAGGTTTAATTGGTAGTCTGGTCCTAGCCTCATCACTACTTCGCCGAGGTTAGGTTAGGCACTTACCAGCACATGCGGTCGGTTGTGCTGATACTACACTCTGCACTGTGTGCAGATCCCGGAGCAGCTTTCAGACAGTAGTTGGAGGGCTTCCTTCAGTCCACCCGGAGACCCAAGGTAGACCTGCAGGCGTCCGCAGGCCCTGGCGTCTCCCTCTATCTATATTCCCTGTTTCATTTTCTTTGTTCAGAAACAGTTTATTGTATATTCTTCAGACCTTGTATGTAGTGACTCTTAGACAGTCTGTGACACTGTGACACCAGATTTTGGGTATTTGAGGTTTTACAAGTTGTAATGGACGTTGATTCCAGATATTTTATTGTTACCTTCCGCTTAATTATTTAAAGTTCCGCTGATTTTACGTTATCGTTTATCTTAGTTAAAAAGAAGAAATTTGTTAACGAAGTTAGTAGTCAAGTTTTGGCTTGCCTAAATAGTAGGCGTCATCACGACTTCCGAGGGAGAGAAATCCGGGTCGTGACATTTTTAGCCAACATTTATCGCATTTTAGACAATAAATGCCGAAAGTCTTCATTTTTTTCTTATACCATATGGCCAGTCAAACACCATTATATAAATTAGGACGGAAGTAGTACATAGTTTTTTGCAAACTAACTAAACTCTGTAGTGGTTTATGTGATGATTTTTTTTCTTTCTTATATAGTCAAAGAAAAACTCATGTAAAATTATATTTTAATCTTTTCAACAAAACTTTGAGAAAGGAACATTATTCTGAAAAGATAACTACTAATCCTTCTAAATGAACGACCCCTTAATAATATTGCTAAAAAGATTGGTTTTGGAGTTATCATGTTTGCACTAATCTTTTTAGTGTTAATTAGTAAATTTCTCAATGATTTGAGGCCGAAAAAATAAATTTTATTTGCTGAAGGTTTAGTCTTATTATTAAAAGAAAGAATTACGTCAAATGTCACTTGGCCCAACAGCCTAACTGAAAATGACCCAAGTTTGAAGTCCTTACACTGTTTGGCCCGGGTTGTACATAACCTGAAAGAATCTTTTCATCATTAGCCCATAATTAGATACTCAGTTCCTCCACAGTCCATAACACAAATAAGCTTCTTAATATCTCTCTTTTATGTGTATTCTGCCTTATCATATAAGCGCACTTCAACTCCAAGAGCGAAGCTGATCTTTGAACAAGATTTGAAGTTGTTCAGTTACAAATTTGCCTCATCCTTGCTACTAGGTTTAGTATTCTCTTTGTTCAACTGTATATAATCATAAAACCTCCATTATTGGAGCTCAAGTTTCTCAAATTTAAAATTTGATTGATTAAAAAAACTCCATTGAAGGCTGAACCTTTAAGTTTGAACCATATCTGAGATTTTGGGTTTGAAAGCACACTTAGATCTAAGATTTGAGATTAATTTTGAAATGGGTGTTATTGGGTTTTCTTGAAAACATGATTGGGTGTTGTTCTAATTGATTGAAAACATCAAGAGGAGTTCAAAGCTTAAATTTGAATTGATTTAGAGCAGATTTGAGCTAGATTTAAGACAAATTTCAGTAAAGGCTCAAGAAAGAAGAAGAAAACTTGTGAAGCTCCATTGATAGGATTCATTTGTATAACAATATATATATTGTATAATAGTGTATATGGGTATGTAAACATATCATATACACTATTATACCAAGTCGATAAATATGTATAAGTGTGTATAATTTTGTATAATTATGTATATACCAGTGTATAAGAATGTAGAAAGGCGAAATTAAATTTTTGTATGTTTTCTTACCTTTTCTCGAGCTGGACAACCTCCTTTGTTTGTTTTTAACTTATTCTCTATTTTGGGTTAAACTCTATTAGTGGCACCATTGAAGGAAAAAAAATAAAAAAATTAAAATCTAGCAATGATGTGTGTATGAGAAGGAATTACCATATGTTATACCGTTGACAAGGCAAAAAGCTGGCAAATTTATTTTTATTTGTTTGTTTATATTTGAATGTATATTTTGCTAATTATTTAATCGAGTTCTTCTACTTTTATATTCATACACTATATATTTAATAATTATTTAATTGAAACCCACCAAATTCTCTGCCTCTAACAAAGGAAAAAAAGCTACCAATTCTTTTTTTTTCTTTTTTTTATATTTAAATATATTTTTATTAATTCTCTCATAGAGTTAATAGTAAAACACTGATTTTGGTACAAGATAAATACAGAAGCTCTCCTCAATAATAGGAATGTTGAATAGCATTGACCGCAAGAACTGCTGGTTGCGTCAAAAAATGCTGGGTTTTCAAATTTGAGCCTATTGTCTTTAGGCTATAGATTTGCAAAGTTACAATTGGGCTACTCAGTCGCAATGTGTGTGTATGAGTTGTACTTATGTGTAATTCTCCCCTATTAAAATTCTCGAAAAACTTCGCTTTGTTTTTTCATCCATTAGAATTTTCACGTTTTATTTAATAATCATGATTAATTCAGCTTATTTTTAGAAAGAGCCTAAGTAGCTCATTTTATTCCATGTATGCATAATGATAAATTTAAGGTGGGCCCTACATGGACAAAATACAGTTCGACAAGGAATTTTTATATTCCTATACCACATAGGAAACCTTTTTACCCTACATGTTTAAGGTTTGAGTAAATTACACTTAGTATACCAAATTACCAATCCTATACCATACTTAATTAAGGGTCTAATTAATGGGCTGTTTTTACTTCTTAATTAAAGGTATCCATATCTAATTAATGGGCAGTTTTTACTCCTTAATTAAAGGTATCCATATATCTCACGTTTCTCTCTCCTTACCCCTCACCCCCTCACCCACGTTTTTACCCATACCCCACATTCTTTCTTGTTCTTCATCCACGATTGCAAGATCAATCAACGAAAGATGTCCTTGAGATGCATTAGCCAGCGAAATCTCATTATATTTGAATGTCGTGCCAATTTCCTCTGCAACAATTGTGGCATGTGATCTGATTTTCTGAAGTCTACATGAAATCAAAAGTTGCAACAAATATTTTAATACGCCACGAACTAGCAAAACAATGAAAACAGATACACTTTAGTAGTTTTTGTTGGGTACCAAACAAAATTCCCTCTTCTGGAAAAGTCAAAAATGAGAAATTTATTGGTAAAGAGACTAATATGAAAAGCTGCCGACAACTTCTCCAAACGACTAAGAAATACTGACCGTTGAAGCCCTCACCTAGATTTACTGTTTGTCGTGTATTTGTAGTGTAATTNATAATGTTTCTTTGCAACAGCCACAAGAGTCAATTGCAATTGATGAGCAAAACAATGTATGCAATGTGCAGAAGGAGTATCATTCATAATCAAAGTCTTAAGGCCATTAATTTCACCCTGCATGTTACTAGCTCCATCATAGCCCTGTCCCCGTATTTGAGATTTACTCAATGAATGTTCCAAAAGCAAAGAACAAATTGCTTCTTTCAATAACTTTGCAGATGTATCTTTAACATGAACAATGCTAAGGAATCGCTCAATAACTTTACCCTCTTTGTTGACATAACGCAAAACAAGCGCCATTTGTTCTTTATGAGAGACATCCTTAGACTCATCAACCAATATCCCAAAGTAATCACCATTCAAGTCTTTAATAATTGCCTTCAATGTTTCTTTTGCACAAGATCTCACAATGTCTTTTTGTATACTTGGACAAATCATGATATCATTTTTTGGAGCATTTTCTAGCACGACCTTTTTTACATCTTCCTTCTTATCGGCATACCACTTTAAGAGATCTAAGAAGTTGCCTCTTCTTGTAGAAGTTTCACTCTCATCGTGACCTTGAAAAGGCATTCCTTCCTTCAAAAGATACCTTGCAACATCAATTGAGGCATTCAAGCGAACTCGATACTCAATTTTAGCTTTCTCGGATTGTTTGTCAAAAGAAGTTATAATAGACTGTGCTTGATTCAATAAATCTAACATCATCTTAAAACATCGATTATGAACACTATTCACTTCACCCACATGTGCATTAAGCCTTTCTATACCTTTATTCCAAGCCCTAAAACCATCTTTTGTAAAAGAATCACCAACTTTTTTTCCATATCCTCCAATCTCATTTTTAAACAAGTAACAACATAAGCAAAACGCTGCATCTTTTTTAATACTATATTCTAGCCATCCAGAATATGATGTAATAAACCATTCAGGATTAAAATGATGCAATTTTCCACCAAAATTTATATTTGGAAAAACAAACTCTCGAAGCTGACAAGGCCCTCTTTCAATGTAATGTCTTCTCACTCGATCACGTAAATTAGGAGGATATTCTGAAATTTGTTTTCTTTCACCAGGATCACGTTCAAGAAGTTTCAAATCCGATATATTATCTTTGTGTGACGATTGAGAAGAATTGACATTATTATTAACCACTGAACATGAAGGAGAGCATAGTGAAGGAGAACTAGAAGTAGAACCTGAAGAGGCCTGTGGCTTGAAGAATCTCTTGAATCATCTTGACTCCAACTAAAATATCCTATAATCATAAGAAACAAATTAAATATTGCAGTAACGAATGTTAGTCAAAAGATCACTTTGCAACATATTAGTTTTTTCATTAATATTACAAAGCTTCCACTTTAATTAATTCTTGGAAGAAAAATATTTCAAAAAAAGAACAAACTATAGTTAATTAATGGCTTAATAATAGACAAAATCTGAATAGCTGTAGTACAAATTGTAGAGATCAAAATGTGTATTGGCTTTCATGAAAACATAGAGAAAATTAAATTAATTTGAAGGTGCAATTAATAACTTTCAGTGACTAACCTTTAAAGATCAATTTTCTTTAATTTCTTGTACTCTTTTTATTTGCAATAAATACACCCCCTTTTTAAAATAAAATCTAGAATCCCAACTTCATAAGTTAAATAAAAAATTGAAATTTATTAAATCTAGAAAAAGAAAAAATAATTATTAAAGTATATGGTCCCCAACTCCAAATCCCAATGAATATTAATACACTAGTTTTGCAAAAAATGGTCATGAATAAAAATTTAAAAGATATTATTTCACATAATATTGTATAAAAGAAAAATAATTAAAAAAGAAGGAAGAGGAGGGAGATCGAAATACCTGTTGCAATGGAGTGGCAGCCTAAATGTTAAAAGCAGTTATTGAAGAAGGAATGTAAACTTTTAAAACCCTAACTTTTCTTTGAAAGTTTGAATTAGGATTTGGAAGACGGAAGGGATTTGGAAGACAGAAGTTTGAGGAACCTTTTTTAGTGGTTGTTGACTTGTGTCCTTTTTAGTTTGAGTCAAGTCTTTGTTATTATTATTTTAATTAAATAAATAGAGTAAAGGTGAAGCTAAAAGCTGTTACTTGACAAAAAGTGCATAAAACTTTGTGCCAAAAAATATGAAAAAACTGAAGTAAGTTGATGGGATTCGAACTTGCACTGTGGGTTACGGAAAATCAATTTGGGTTCCGCACCTTACCATAGAACCAGCAAAACACTATGTAACTGGGTTTCCATATAAATATTCTTATATATTTAATGATTTCTTAATATAAATACAGGGTCTAGGCAAAAGTTACTGAATTCCCGAAAATCCATACCTATCACTGTAGATCCGCCCCTGTGTTTGCATCTCCTTGCCATCGATGGTGCACGTTAGCCTCCCCTGGCTTATCGTGCGCCGAGAGCATTTAGGAACTTTGTCTACCTACTTCATTCCAATATATTCAGCTTATTTTTAGAAAGAGCCTAAGTAGCTCATTTTATTCCATGTATGTATAATGATAAATTTAAGGTGGGCCCTACATGGACAAAATACACTTCGAAAACATAGGTGGACGTGTAGACAGCAAATCAAGTGGCCCCGCTGGTTCTGAAAATCGATGACACGTGCTACGGTACATGCAACGAAGTGTGGCTATTTTGTCCACAAGGAGAAACCCTTAAGTTAATCAAGTACAAAATAGTTAAAGCACATAATTCATGAAATACCCGAATACCCTCCACTTTTAAGCAAGTTAATGCTCATGTTGTCTAATTAACTTTTTAAAAGACATAACTCAATAGCAAATTCCTTTTCCTTCCATGGGACCAAAAAAAGTACTTCAAAAGCAAAGTTATTAAATACATCTTTATGTTATACAGATGCAAGTCATGTGCACTCTTACCTTGCACAGTCTCTCGCGTAGGCAAAAAAAGTCATGCTAATCCATTAGGATTTGTTTCGTTGAAATTCAGAGTATCCAAATATAGAATTATATTCAAAGAAAAAGTTCTTTTCTTTTATAAATATTATTGGCTTCTCTTACAGCTAATTAAGTATCTTTTAAGAGAAAATTTATTTGTCGTACTAATTTTACTTTAAAGTTAAAAGTTTATAGTTAGAGTTTAGATGTTTAATTTTTACGATTAAAATTATATTTAGAGTCCCAAAATGAAACAACAAAAGATAGAGTTTAAAACTTGCACTGTAAAATTTAAACTCTATCTTTTGTTGTTTCATTTTGGGACTCTAAATATAATTTTAATCGTNTAGTTAATAGTAGTTATAATGTAGGATTCATGTACCGCTTCACACCATCTATCACAGTATGGATATGATACTAGTTGAAGCCCTACACCTAGAATTACATAACAAACAGCAATTAAAAATATTTACAATCATAAAATAGTTTATCTATAATTTATCTACAATGTATCTCCAATTATATCTACAAATTATCTACAATCTACAAATTAACTACAATTTGTCTACAAATTATATACAATCTACTATTTGATTTCACGATGTATTTGATTTCTACAATTTTTTCTGTAGTATCAATTGATACTTGTTCTGCAATTGTAGAAATCAGGATACTGTAGCTTGCATTCTCATCTACCACAATGGCATCAACTTCAAAATCTCTAAATCTGCCATAGTTATCCCAATCCCTATTAAATTGTAGCATGATTGCGATTTTGGACATGATTTGTTGTTGATATTGATTTTTATTTTTGGATTTCTAGATTGAAAGAAGAAAAGATGAAGAAGAGATATATCTGATCGATAATTTGATAGAAGCAACGACGAAGAACAGATTTTTTCAACTTTGAGTTGTTGAAACTCGAAAATTTTGAATTCTACAATTTGAATTCAGCTCGTCGAAACTCTTAGTAGTTGAATCTGTTCTTATTTTTAGGAGCTGTTCGTTCTTTTTTTTTTTCAGAATTTGAATTGTAGTTCTGGAAAAAGAAAACGCAGATGAGAAATCTCTTTTCCCTTTTTAAAAATTGAATTTAATGTAGAATCAATTATCACCAAGATTCTCTCCTTAATTTTAGCCCGTTTTTAGGGAATATTCTGCTCCTTTAATGCCTAATAGTCGAATGGTACAAATTTTGTAGGTAAAATGTGGACTGGGCGGGTAATATACAAAATATGCACATTTTTGATAATAAACTTTCATATATGGTGTATAGGAAGGAAAAAATCCCCTTCGAATATAGCTGGACGTGTAGACAGCAAATCAAGTGGGCCCCGTGCTACGGTACATGCAACGAAGGGTGGCTATTTTGTCCACAAGGAGAAATGTACACCCTTAAGTTAATCAAGTACAAATTAGTTATAGCACATAATTCATGAAATACCCTCCACTTTTAAGCAAGTTAATGCTCATGTTCTCTAATTAACTTTTTAAAAGACATAACTCAATAGCAAATTCCTTTTCCTTCCATTAGACCAAAAAGGGACCAAAAAAATACTTCAAAAGCAAAGTTATTAAATGCATCTTTATGTTATACAGATGCAAGTCATGTGCACTCTTACCTTGCACAGTCTCTCGCGTAGGCAAAAAAAATCATGCTAATCCATTAGGATTTGTTTCGTTGAAATTCATAGTCACCAAATATAGAATTATATTCAAAGAAAAAGTTATTTTGTTTTATAAATATTATTGGCTTCTCTTACAGCTAATTAAGTATCTTTAAGAGAATTTATTTGTCGTACTAATTTTACTTTAAAGTTAAAATTTTATAGTTAGAGTTTAGATGTTTAATTTTTACGATTAAAATTATATTTAGAGTCCCAAAATGAAACAATAAAAGATAGAGTTTAAAACTTGCACGGTAAAATTTAAGCTTTAAAGCTCGTACATCGATATGTATGACTTTTTTTATGGCTAGGTCAACTTTTACAATAAGTTTTAGGTTGTTGGGTTTGTGTTATTTTTATTTTTTGAATTTCGTCTTTATTGCTTGATCATCAATTTTCTTTTCTTTTCTATTTTTCTGATGTGAGGGAGAAAATAAATCATAATTTTGCTGATTATTCGATCATATTTTATTTCTTCATATATAAAAATATTCTAAATACTCATGTTTTCTTTATGAATCTTAAATTTAAACAAATTCAGGATCAGTCACCGTCGAATCCTTCGTTTGAGGAAAGAGATGATAAATTCAATCATGAAAAAAACAGCTTTTATAATAATCCGACTTCCTTGAATAGCTTTATAAAGATTATTCCTCTTCTTCATCCTTTTTTAAAATTATAGCTATTTGCATATAAAATGTTTCTATGAAATTGGAAAAATACTCAATCGTTTGAAGTAGTTCTTTGAAAACACTGTCTTCTCATTCACAGAGAAGATTTGTTATAGAAAAAGTAGTTTAGTTTTTCAGGAAATTTTATAAAAAAAGTCTTTGAACAATTTTTTGATGTCATTTTGTGTCGGATATATTTTGTATAATCGTTTCCGAAAAATGTTTAAAATTCTTTTTGACTTGAAGGATATAACTATTTCAGATTTACGAAAGAATAGTAGTAATGTTTTCCTAAAATCTGATTTGGGGTTTGGACCAACTTTGATTTTTCAATACTTACCAGCTTTAAGTAGTTTTATTTGCTTGTCAAGGGTATTCATAGTTGCAGAAACATGTGGCTATCGCAAATTCAATACTATGTAAATTAATAACAATGTGT